CGCACATCTACTTCAGCGGTCGCAACAAAGCTCGCGCCAACGAACTCATCTCCAAGATCGCCATGGCCTCACCCTCCACCAAAGTTACCTTCATCGAGTGCGACCTCGCGAGTCTCGCATCCGTCCAATCTGCCGCCAAACAATTCTTGTCGTCGTCCGATCGCCTCGACGTCCTGATGTGCAACGCAGGTATCATGGCCGTACCTAACGACGTAAGCAAATATGGCTACGAAATCCAATTCGCAACAAACCACCTCGGCCACGCGCTACTCATGAAGCTGCTCTTACCTGTCATGCTCGACACCGCATCGCAACCAAACGCCGACGTCCGCATCGTCAACCTCTCATCCGTAGCTTACAAACAAAACGTACCTTCCACCGGCATCGAGTTCTCAAAGCTCAAGACCAAAGGCGCAAACTACGGTTCCTTCTTCAGCTTCAACAAATGGGTCTGTTACGGCCAGTCCAAGTTAGCCAATCTGCTTTACGCTACTGAACTGGCTGCTCATCACCCGAGTATCACGTCTGTGGCGGTGCATCCTGGCTTTATCAAGACGGACCTTTTCGCGAGCACGAACTTTATGGATCGTCAGGTTGTGAATATCATCTCTGGGGGAAATTGGCTCGACACGGAACAGGGTGCGTATAACCAGACTTGGGCGGCTACTACCAAGAAGGAGAGCTTGGTCAATGGAGCTTATTATGAGCCGGTGGGTGTGAAGACGACGCCGAGTACGAAGCTGGGGAGGGATCGGGCGTTGGCGAAGGGGTTGTGGGAGTGGACTGAGAAGGAGCTGAAGGCGTGGGTTTGAGACCTGGACATTTCGGTTAGCGTTTTGATTTGCGAGTCTTGAATAGATCGTATCCGTAGATATGCTTGTTGTACTTTGGTAATTTCTCGTACTTAGACTTTCTTCATTGGTAGCACAGCCCACGATGCGCAGCAGGCGGCCTTGACGTTCAGAAGGTCCCCGCTTGCTGTCAATAGGCGCACAATACCTCGGTTGGGCACCTGACAGCAGTGTACGGATACTTTTCCGTGAGTAACGTTATAAGTAGTGGTGTACTCGCCGTCGTGGTGGTCGTTATCGCGGCAAGCAACACTTGGACGTCCACCTTTGGTCGCTGCTTCCAGACGACCTCGTGGTAGCAGTGATCGACAACGCACCAGAAGGTTTCCAAAGTGCTGGTAAACCGTTTCGCTCCACAACCCCATGGGGTAGTGGACGTTTTCGCGATCCGTTGGCCAACTTCCTTCGCTATCGCACCCGCCCACCAGGTGAACACGGCCGTGAAGCACGAGGACGACCCGACAAATTCTCTTGAGCACATGGCCTAAACGATCTCCACTGTGATCCTTCCATGGCACAGGCTCGGATGAGGCACCGCTGCATACCAGCCGCACCGCTTAGACGGCAACTAGCCATTTACCAAGAACCATCAACGCGGCGTCTCATTGTTTAGCATCACCAAGTACCGAAAGACGAACCCGGTCTGCCCCGTGGAGAAACCAAGCAAAGCTGTGGGATATTCCTTTGTTGGATGATGGCCAAGACGATGAAGGCCCGGCGGACTGACTTGGCTCCGTGTTGATTGGCCGAATCCACAGCGGAAAGACTTTTAGCTCCTTCTCCTCAGCAGCGGCCTCGAGACGAAGCCTCAGGCTAAACCGCAAACCAATCCCACCGCGGACTTGTGTCATCCAGAAACCTGGTGGGACCCATAAACCACGCACCGAAAGACCGCGTCTAACACCCCATCCGTGCGACAAGCGTGCACGCCATCTAGTTTCCCCGCAATGCAGCGCATGCTCAAGATCTTGGACCTGTCTCGGCCCCCTTGGCCTAGGCCCATGTGCGACGTTGGCCTCGACTGACAAGCTATGAAAACACTTGACCTCGCGCGACATGGCGCAACACCAAGATTTCGGTGGCTTGCCAATGTGCCTTTTCTCTGCGACAAGACCACGAAGACTCCAGGGTCGGGGCTGGGCTCCTCACCGGAACCAGTCACGAGTAGTGAGCTCGGAGTATCAATGCGACGTTCATGTTAGGAAAGAGTCTTGGTATTTTGCGGGTTACCTTCCTGGGACGAGTAACCGTATTTCGTGTCCTCATTGCGACGTCAGCCAGGACGGACTGGGGAGAAAGAAGAGCAAGGGATCGCATGTTGGAAGACTCAACTCTACGCCAGAGTGCTACACCCCCCGCGGAAGGTTGCACCAATGCTACGTGAGCGCGTACTCCCCGCTGAACTGCAAAGTTCACGATGCGGGCACCACTAGACCAAACACGAGACCACCGACTACCGGCTCCGACATACCTGTCCTTGCCAAAAAACCGCCGGAGGCGGCAAAGCCAACCTGGCACTAAGCACGCCCAGCACCTAGGGTACGCCCTGCGAGCTTGTGTGCCGCACGTTTGCATGTTCGCGATTCGGCAGAACGCACAATGATAGTCAGGCTCCAAGACCAAGCAAGCGGGCAGACTTGCCTTCGGGGACCCCGCGACCCCGTTCCCCCAGCGCCATTCAGCCTCAAGTGTGTCCAAGGCGGCCGGAAGAAGCGCGCTTACCATGTCTTGGAAGGCATGCATGCGCGGAGGTACCTAGACAATTGTCGTGTGATTCCGGAACATCGCTTGTAGAGAAGGATCTGGGGCGAAGTATGGGATCCACCGCACTCGTGCGACGCTGAGGGCGGGGATGGAGGTGTATAAGAGTGCTACTCCACGTCCCCCGGATTGTTGATTTCCCCAGATCAACCAGCTCAGGCTTCGGTGATCCAACGGGCGTCTTACCCACACCCTTTACACCTCATACTCTTATCTTTTCAGAGAGGTTCTTTGAACACCACCCATCATGTCTGAGAAGAAGAACGATGTCGTCATGCTCGAGCAGACAATGACTCGGGATGAAGAGCTCATGAAGCCTGTGCCCATTGTCGGCAAGGTGGATTACTCTGGTGCTTACGAGAAGACTGATCCCCGAGAGATTGCGCTTGTCAAGAAGCTCGACCGATGGATTATGCCCATGTTGTGGAGCATGTACTGGCTCAATTACCTTGGTATGTCACTCCTCTCTCACAGTGATCTTTTTGGAAGCACTTGCTTACACATCGCTCTGTCTAGACCGCAATGCCATTGCACTGGCCCGCCTCGACGACCTCGAAGAGGATCTCAACCTCACCAGCGAGCAGTACCAAACCTGCGTGAGCATTCTCTTCGTCGGATACCTCCTTGGCCAAATTCCCAGTAACATGTTCCTCAACCGAACCCGTCCATCGCGCTACATGGGCTGCTGCATGATGCTCTGGGCCGTCGTCTCCGCCCTGACAGCTCTTTCCAAGGACTTCACCGGTCTCCTTCTAACCCGCTTCTTCCTCGGTGTAACAGAAGCCCCCTACTACCCCGGTGCTGTCTACCTGCTCTCCATGTTCTACACCCGCAAGGAAGTCGCCACCCGCATTGCCATCCTCTACACCGGAAACATCCTCGCGACCGCCTTCGCCGGCCTCATCGCCGCAGGCATCTTCCACGGTCTCGGCGACGTCGCTGGTATCACGGGATGGCGTTGGCTGTTTATACTCCAGGGTGCTGTCACCTTTGTCATCGCCGTGGTCGGTTTTTTCCTGCTTCCAGATTTCACGCACAACACATGGTGGCTCACACAAGAAGAGCGCGACCTAGCCACCAACCGCATGGCCCTCGACACCGTCGGCAACAAGGGCGAGACTTCCGTCTGGGCTGGTTTCCGCCAAGCGGGCAAGGACCCCATGGTCTGGATCTTCGCTTTCATGGCTCACATGCATCTTGCCGCCAACGGATTCAAGAACTTCTTCCCCACCGTTGTCCAGACGCTTGGGTTTAGCAAAACTATCACCCTTGTTCTGACATGCCCGCCTTACCTCATCGCCGGTGTCGTTACCATCGCCGTGTCCTGGTCTTCTGGAAAGTTTAACGAGCGCACTTGGCACATTACTATTTCCAAAGCCGTTGCTACCTTTGGCTTTGGACTGGCTTGTGCTGAGATCGGTACTGCGGGTCGTTACGTCGCTATGATCATCTTCACCATTGGCACTTATGGTGTTAATTCGCTCATCCTGGGTTGGTGTGGATCGACATGCGGTCAGACGCCTGAGAAGAAGGCTGTTGCTATCGGTATCGTGACGACGGTTATGAACGCTTCGTTTATCTGGTAAGTTCCCCTTCTACCTCTTCTTCATCACCTCAAAGAACCAGTTGCTAATATGGATAATAGGACACCATACCTATGGCCCAAGTCCGACGAACCCCGCTACATCATTGCGCTTAGTTCCTCGGCTGCGTTCTCCATTATGACTGCGCTATTGGCGTGGGTGGCGAAGATTCTCTTTACCCGCAAGAACAAGAAGCTCAGGGAGCAGGATAGCGAGAACATGACCTTCTACGTGTACTAAGCGTGCAATGTAGTCATGAGTAGCACACAGCACGAGGGTGGAGAGAGGGAATCGGCTGGCAAGAGCTGGCGCAGATTAAATGATGATAGTATATTACGAGCCGAGAGCTTGTCGAATATGTATACATGAATGATGAATTGTTCAACTTCAAAGACTAGCCGATGGCATTGACGTGATCGCGCTGTGTGTGTTGTGATTCTGCCAGTACACCTTAGCCGTCCCAATTCTCCCTCACTGAATTCCATCGACCCGCCCGCGAATGCGTCATAATGCCCGACCCCAAAAAGCATAAAATCAATCTCATGATATCAGCGAACACTGAGTATTCCCCCATATCTCACATGTGCGCATAGGCTCCAAGGCTAGCCATTCCCCCATCCGGAAACCCCACTAGTCTACATTACCGCCATCGATGACATTACACGAGTCAGCTACACATATCCACTGTCGCACGAACTCGAAGGCTTCTTGTACCTAATGTTATAGCGATACGACTGCGAAAAAGACAACTAAACAAATCCGACGGGCCAAACTAGAGTTGCAGCATTACTACACCTCTATCTCGCTACTTTCCATTGTATACTTTCGGACCTCCTCCCCATTGCGACTCATGACGAGCCATGAGATACTCAATAGATGGCATATTGCTCTCGCAAGGGCCGCACACGACCTCTGAGTCTGAGTCTGACTCCGACCCTCCCCGGCGCTGTTTGTCTTTCCTATACATATTCAAGATCTCGTAATGCGGTGGAATGTTTCTGTGTCAGGTCAGTATACGCAAGATGCCAGGAAAGATATGCAAAACAACTTACCCTTTCTTGTCCTGCAGCAGTTCTCGCCCAATTTCCATCAAGATTTCCTCGTTGTCCTGAGAATAACCTGCCAGAATTGCCTCCTTCCTACAAGCAAGACGAAGCGCGTCGGAGTAGCTGTATAGTCGCATTGCCGCGAAAGAGGCTCCATTGGGATTTAGTCTCTCCTCGAACGGCAGAGCCTTCAGATCGTCTTTGTTCAAGCCGAGTTGTTTATCGCACATAGTTTTGGTAAGACAGTCGATCCCAATAGCATCGAGCGAGTTCTTGTCGTCGTCATTTTGGTTGTTGGCAAGCCACTCTTTCCAGTCTATCCTCCCCTGCTTTGTCTTTCTTATCCGTTCCTCATTCGCGGCTTTCAGTCTGGCTTTTTCTGCAGCAGCTGCAAGTTCGGCTGGGGTCTTCGTCTTCTTCTTGCGTGGTTTCCTCTTTGGCGTGACGGTAGGTTTGGCCTTTTTGCTCGTTGCGACAGGTTGAGGCTCGTAGTCACTATCGTCAGGCGTGGCTGAGCGTTTGCGTTTTGATCCCTTCGTTGCTGTAGGAGACGCTTCTACCTCATCCTCCGGGGACAGAACTTCACGTTTGACTCTGACAGTTGATGAAGGTGGAGTCAGTAGTTGTTGTTGAGGTGGGGACGGCGAGGCGGGGTCCGCTTTGACGACAAGGTGTGACGTTTCTCCTGCCATTTTCGAATCTCGGCGACGAGGTGACATGTTGGGTGAATTCGAAAGAGAAGTTCCCGAGGTCTTATAGCAGCGGCGGTAAGACACTTCTACAATGTCTTTGGGAGAAGCTCAAGACATGTAAGACAATGCGATAAAGGTACTCTGGGAATAGAGACGCTGGAACAACTGTGCCGCTTTATCAACTTGCCTTCCAAGCAAGGGTCAGACTTGCTGCACACTGCGGGGTAAATGTACCAAAACAGTTATCTTGGATGCCACGTCAAGATGCATCGAGATATTGGTAAACTACTACAACTAGCAATATCGAGATCCTTCGACATGATGGTGGTGCACTAGTACGACACGACTGTGGTAGCCCCCACGTCAAGGCTCCGGGAAAACACTTGCTCGCGAAAACAGTTTCACTGCACGAAGTCAAGAATAAAACTAGGGCTTTTGATTATTGAGAGTCTAGTAGCCACTCCGGTTATGGTCATCCCCATACTTCTCGCACATCAACCTATCCTCTTCATCCTCTCGCATCCGCCTGAGTTCGTCTTGTCGCTTCGATTCTTTGTAGCGTGCAATCTCCGCCCCGGACCTTCCCCCTTTGGCATACAAGAGGTTGTCGTAATTACTGGAGAGTGTTAGCATCTTTGCAGCTGCAGTATACATCGGTCGCTTACCCTCTGGCGTGTTTATCCGCAAACAGCTTCTTCCCTTTGGCAAGGAACTCTTGTTCGTTATCCTGTGGGATACCAGCGAGCATGGCTTCTTTCCGGAAGGCTAGTTTCCCGCAATCGTCCCATCGGTAGTCCTTCTGGGGCATCTGGTTGAATGCGTTCACGGAAGGGCGATGTGGGATGCACTTGAGCTCATCTGGCTTCAGGTCGAAGAATGCCTTTGCGTTTTTGACATTTACATTTTTTCCCAGATCGCCTGAAGTGAGTTCCTCGTAGGTCTGGTTTTTGGATATCCAATCTTTCCAGTCCTTCTTCCATTGCGCGACTTGCTTCTTTCGCTCTTTTTCGGCTTTCTTTGCATCGGCAGCTTCTTTCCTCTTGGCAGCGTTTGCGGCCTTAACTGCGGCCTCTTCCTCTTTCTTCTTGGCCGACGCGAGCTTTTTCGCAAGCGCTTCTTCGGACTGTGCTGGCTTCTTAGGTGTCCTTGGTCCACGTGAGGCTTCGCTCTTCCTCGCTACCTTTGAGGGCGTCTTCGTTTCGGCATCGTCGTCGTCCTGTGCTGGTCGCTTGAGGTTGGGCATTTGCGCTTGTTCAGCTGGCTTCAGCGGCTTGACCGACGTCTCTTCGATACCCGTTACTTTAGGCCCGTGCTCATCGGAGTCTGGAGGGGGAGTATGGAGTTGCTGGCGGCTCTCCGTTGATGATGCCATCGCTGCATCGGAGTTCATGATGTCATTCAAGAGGGTTGAGTGCGAAGCTTGGAATGAACAGAAGGGTCAATGGCGTCAGATTGCTCAGAATACGACTGACAGTGGGAGCTTGGGAACCAAATATTACAGGCACCAGATGTGGCATTTGAAAACATATGTACCGCGCACTGCGTTCCGATCAAGAGACCCTGCAGCTGTGTCAACCTTATCGCATGGGGCTACAGGTGGGGTGGTGCCCGTGCCGGAGCCGTTTCCGGGCTACGTCACCCCCACCTCATTACCCCTGATGTCCCCACCATGTACCCTTCTCGTCACCAACCCTGAAACTGCTGGCACCTACATCGGTGATCTGAAACACGATATATGCAATCGTACTCGCATCCAAGACTTGAGCACCTCCTAAGCTTTCAGCGGATTAAAATATCGCCAGCACTACCTAAGCATGCTAGCTAGTGCAAAGATGATGTCACACAGTGTTACCAAGGTATATTCATTTTTCCGCTGATCTTGTAGCGACGTCAGCGCAAGTGTGCCCGCTTCCAGTATGCATTCCATGATGAAGAATCTGTTGCAACGAAAGTAAAGATCGCGATTGAGAAGCTATAGCGACAGCTCGATGAGTACTACTATACAACTAGGCAGGTCTAAACGGATATCCAAGCAACAGACGGCAGAAAAGGACGAGAAACCATGAGTATCGCATCAGCGCATCACCTCATCACCTCCCACCCATCAACTCAACTCCCTCAAGCTCTCCTCAACATTCTCCCAAGCCTTCGGCGACATGATCAAACTCAACCAATACCCCCCTGCATGATCCCTCCCCAGAATATGCACCAACAGCCTATTCGCCACATTCGGTTTCCTACTCGAGCAATGATGAAACGCAGGCATACCAGGCGGATTACACCTTCCCTCACTCTCATCACCAGCCCTCACAACCGCAGGCCCAAAGTCGACAGTAGAAAAGAACTTGGCTTTCGACCAGTCGGTAAAAGGCACCAACATCGCATCCGCGTCACTGTAGAGAAGCGTCGATGGATCGCCGGAGATACGCTGCTCGCGAAGACTGGCAAGGACTTGGCCTTCGGTTGCTTGTTCGAGGAGGCGCTGGCGGTTGTGTAGAGCGATGGGACCGAGTGGGCCGGTTGCCATGTCTGGAGAGAGGAAGGTGAAGCCGGGGACGAGCATGTTTTGCATGTACATGCCCTTCGCGTTGATGAGTTCAGAAAGACGGAAACGAGCGTTCATTGCGTGGAGGGCGGTCAAGGGACGGGGTGATGGCAGAGAAGATGCGATACAGCGGAGTGTCCATGCAGTGAGCACATCGCCATCGCTGATGAACGGTGGTTTCTCGACTATACCGTCATCGTTCTCCTGTACAGGTAGGTCTTGCTCAGTTGCTACGCGCAATTTCGCCACGACGTCCTTTGGCAGGTAAATCGTCTGCGACTTTGGAGCAGGACCAGTAAGCATATCCCATGCGAACCTCGCTCCAAATTTGACCATACTCAGCCCTTTGAGCTGTTTGGCCTTGAGTATGTACTCCTCTGCCGGCTGAGTCGTGTTGTCAGTCAGTGCACGTAGCATGTCTTCCCGCGCCCCTAGTACAGGCGGCACTTCGGTCTCTTTTCCGGCTAATACCATCGACCACGCGCAGAGGAGGTTTTGGTTGCCAATTACATCCATCAAAGTATGGGGCCAGGAGAGTCCCACGAGTGTTGCGTTGGTAAAAGACGTGATGTGGACCGAAATTTGTGGCGTGTCTCCAGCGATCAAGTCCTCAAACGTCATGGGCGCGTCGGCGCTAGCGGCCAGGTCATTGAACTCCGTGGGTCCTGGACAGATCAAGACGGCTCTGTTGGCTTTGGGAAGCTTCTTGGCTAGGTCGTGCTCTTCGATGGGAGTGTTGATGGTGACATGGCTGTACGAGAAGGCGGGTCGCTCAGATGTGAACTGGCGTGGGACATGAATCTCCAATGCACCCTTGTTCTATCATCCAACATGTTAGCCGTACTGCTTCCACGCGAAATCAATCCGAAAGATGCCACTTACGTTGAGTCTCAAGCGTCCTCCAAGCTTCCTCCAGTCCCCATTTTCCAAGAGCTTTGCTAGAGAGGACCGGAGCCTATCCGCATCGAGAACATCGTTGAAGCAGAGTGTCCATGTAATTATGATGCTACGGAAAGTCTTCGTGTCGTCTAGTGTGTGTACTGGAAGGACGTCGTCGTCGGCATATGGGGTTGGTGTAGCATCTACTGCTGGGGAAGATTGCTTTTTGAATCGCTTGAGGAAATCCATTGCTGAGACGCTAAACTTGCGAACTGTGAAAGGTGCTCAACAATGAGTGTTATTTGTCAAATCTATTTACTTCTGCTCTGCTTTTAACACCGTATGAGAATCCCTGGCCAAAGTCGCGTTCGGAACACGGATTCGTGGGTAGCCGGAGAATATGTTATCGTCGTTGTATCAAAAGGGGCTCGCTAGATCGACGCCTCGTCTCCACCTCTGCAAGTAACTAGTCTCAGGTAAAACTAGCCGCACGTACCAACACGAGAAGGATTTCCGCCGTGCCACCGAATCTCTACAGGCGAGTCAAGAATACGTTCTTATCGTTGTGTCAAAATAGGGGCTCGCTAGATCGGCGCCTCGTCTCCCCCTGCGCAAGTAACCAGTCTCAGGTAAAACCAGCCGCACGTACCAACACAAGAAGGCCGAATCTCTACAGGCGATCGGACAACGGATACTAGCGATCCGCCTACGTTCCATGCGCTCCAAACCACGCATCGACCTCGTCGCCTGTGGCAAGCTCGTCGTCGTCGTCGTCGTGGATGGCTTCAACTCTGCCATGCCTGCGCCTGAACCGCCTCCCCCTCACCCGCGTCGTAGACTCATTCCGCTTCCGCAATGCCAGTCGCTTCGCAACCTCATTTGCCTCGACCAGGCTGACCAGCTTCCTCTTCTGCCCTTGATTCTTCTCGGCAAACTCCTTGCAGACTTCCCACACCTTTGTCGTAGCATCGCGAGTATCTCGGGACTTTTCGACGAAGGATTCTGGACGTCGTGAAAGCACGTTAGTATTCACGTTCCCGATACCAAGATGTCTGTGGCGACGATTTTGCCCTGCGTCGCTGGGAGGCGGAGGGTTGCTGAAGACCTCTTGAGCCAGATATGTATCCTCTGCCATCTCAAACGGCGTACGTCCTGATGCGTTCTCACGGAAGAGAAGGTCAGGACGGCATTGGAGCATGACGCGCAAGACTTGATCAGTACCACGCCGTACGGCAAGATGGACAGGCGTGTCGCCCTCGCCATTGACGATACTGAGGTCGTCGCCTTTGTTGAGCTCGAAAAGAAGTTTGAGAATGTTTTCGTGGCTCTCCGAGTTATAACTTGTTGAATTGTGGGGAAGAGCGACGTGAAGCCAGCGTGCAAGAGGTGTAGCTGCGCCAGGAGCCGCCGTTGTGCGTTCGGTGAACAGGCTAGAGAGAAGGCGAGTGTCGATGAGCGCCAAAAGCTCGCGGAGCTTCTCTAGGTCTAGCTGGTAGTTCAAATGTTTGTGCAGGATTGAGTGGATAATGTTCGCTCCGGTGTTGTCGCGTGTGGTTTGATCGGCACCAGCTTCCAGAAGAACCTTCACCATTTCGACACGGTGCTGAGAGAAAGCAAGCTGCAGGGGCGTCATGCCATTCGCAGAACGATGTCCAATCGCCTTGGGATGAGTTTTGCATAGATGTCGAAGCAGGCTCACCGACTCTTCACCCTCCTTGCCCAGAACCACCGAATGGAGCAGTAGATGCGAGCGTAGGTCGAGCCAATTTGTGATAGACGACTGTAGGCCGCCTTGGGTCTTCGCCAGGTTCTGGATGCGAATATCGTCTCGATGACTGTCCGCAAACTCCATATAACAGCGCAAAGCGGTGTCACTAGCGAACCACTCGACGCTCTCCAAACTTGTGTAACGAGCGGCATGAAGTAAAGGCGGATGCTTCGCCCCAACTGCTTTCGTCTGGGTCTCTCTCCCTTCATTCGCCCAGTCCGCTCGCTTCCTGCCGTGCACCGATAGCCCTTGGTAGTACTTTGGCTTCACGGGTATCTCGATGCCGCTCTTCTTCACAAGATCGTCCAAAGGAATGCCAGCCCCAGTGTTCTTGATGATGATTCCTAGCAGGCGGGTACGACTCAAGCGGATCGCGTACCAGAACTCGGCTTCGTCGAAACGGAAGAACCTCGGTGCAGTCTCATCGTCGAGTTCGGTGTTGTGTTGCGTGTACTCCTGAGCTCTGGCGATCAGGAATTGTAGTAGATCGGCATCGTCTAGATAGACTGCCAATTGGAACAGACTATGCGGCCGCACATCCTCGGGGATCTTGACGGGTACCGGGTTACCACTAGACGAGTCCAAAGGCGGTTGACCACGGAGGCTGCTTGAGAGCTCTGGGTGTGGAAGCCAGGGTGAGACCGATGCAGCATCGTGTTCGAGAAAACGGAACGCCGGGCACGTCCACGACATCATCTTGAGTGGCGTCACATTGCTTTTGACTTGACTCTGCACCTCTCCAATGTTCTCAATAGTGAAGCAATCATCCACAATCTCAGCGTAGATCTCGAAATCATCCTCACCATCGTCACTGCTACCGTCGTCATCATCTCGGGGCTGGAGACTGTGTTTGACCAATGGCTTCTCTTCGGGCACATATTGCGCATGTGCAATCTCCAAGACAGCACGAGCGATTCCATAGTGCTTCCGCAGAATGGCGATAGAGAACGGCGAGTAATCCTGCGAGTTCTGAACAGCGATTTGCAGGGGAGTCTGATTATCTCCCCACATCGACAAGGTAAGCTCTTTGATCGTCGGAAGATCGCCATCCCAGCAGGCTTGGAACAACTTGAGGTAAGCTTCCCGTCGTTCGTCGGTCAGGTCAGAAAGCCGGAAGGTGAGCAACGGATTCCACGGCTTTGGAGGGTCAGGTCCATAGCTACCATAATTGTACTGTTGTGGTGGGGGTATCCTGATTTCGGTATCTGGATGCAGCTCTTTGAAGGTCTTCGCCTGTCGTCTGAGCAGCTCTGACTCCAATGCTTCGAACTCTTTCAATAGCGCCTGGACAGCCGACTTCTTCTCACTCGTACCCTCGGGTTCTTTCTGAGACTGTTTCCACTTCTCGTGGCTCTCCAAGTCTTGTTCGTAGATCCGTTTGGCGCTGTCGATCTGATCACTCACCATCCAATGAGCGTAGGTACCCGGTTCGAGTCCTCCAAGATATTCAGTATCTTCCTTGAGCGGTACTGGGGCGAATTGCTCGGACCGCCGGTAGTTATCAATGCGGTCCACCCAGCCTTCGGAGCACAACCACCCATCTTGGCCATCAACTTTGCCCTTCTCGATAAAGGTCTGTAGTTTTCGCACATTGTACCGAACAATATCCAAAAGGGTGCCCGTATCGTTGTCGTGTGTGTTGTTGCTTTTGTCCAGCGCGCACCAAGCTTTGGGAGTAAGACTGTTGATGTCTGCTCCAGCATCCAGAAGCTTCAAGACTATCGACAATGCCTCATAACGAAGTGCAGTAAATACAGGCTGCTCGACGTTTTCTCTGAACGCTTTCTGGTTGCTCTCGGCAGTGCTGTATGCCGAATGAAACCCCTTGTTTTTCGCAACGGTAGAGTAGGTGGCGAAGTCAAGCTCAGGCTTCGCGCCCAGCTCTAGAAGTGCTTCAACTCCAGCGGTATCACCATGTTCAATGGCTGTCTTCAGAGGACTGTTCACGTTGGGTCTGAACGAATAGCCACTCAGCGATAAGTGATCGGCGGCTTGTTGCGCCGCAGGCCTGTTTGCGGATATCAAAGTGGTGAGCAGATCGGCACCATGCGCAGCAAAGTAGTGCAACGCTGTGATGTGGCTAGTGTCGCCCTGTGCAGGCGATGCACCTAGGCTGACGAGTAATCTAGTCATGTCCTTGGCCTTTTCAGGCGAGAGCTGTAAAGCGAGAACGGTTGGCAGGATCGCCGCGCGCGGGGACTTGTTGTAATCATTGACAAGCTTGACCGGCAGTAGTACATCGGCTCCAAACTCCTGAACGAGAGTCTTTACGACGTCGGTGTGACCATTTGCAATGGCCAGGTGGAGCGCAGATACCGGTGCGTCCCAAGCGACTACGTTGACGTCGTATACATCGGGCTCGTCGTCATTTGCATCATCTGGGAGGTTATCGTGGTCTTCTGACTTTTTGGGGTCTATCTTGATGACAGAGCCTTCAGTAGTCGCATCGGCATTATCGGACTCATCATCAAGTAAATCGACGTCGTCATCCTCATCGTCGTCGTTCTCGCTGTCGTCATCGGAAGCATGTTCCTCGGTGTCGTTGGTACTGGTAGCATCTGGTGTTTCCGGGAGGATCTGATTCTTCTTCTTAAGAGCTTCTTTCTCTGCCTCTTCTTCTTCGTTGGCCTCACTCTTGATGAGGAGAGCTCTGACCATCTCTACCTCACCGCGCATGGCAGCAAGATGGAGCGCGGTCTTACCATCGAAGATGCGAGCGACGATACGGGCTCCAGCATCGACGAGAGCTTGAACGACCTGCGGAGTTGAGGTCATGACCGCCAAATGAAGTGGAGTACGCCCAGTGTAGTCCCTTCGGTTGGGATCAGCACCCTCTTGACTGAGCCAATCCCGGACATGCTCGAGATCTCCGTCCACTATAGCCTGACACAGTCGCGCTGTATTGCCGACATATGCCATCTCGGTCCAATCATCATCAGTAAGAGGGTTAAATGAGCCGATTGATTGCCGTCCAGGGTTGTCTTTGATGAAAGACAATGTGCCAGACACATAGATCTTGCTTTCCTCAGCTGCAATCTCCTGATCTTCTGGTGTGGTGGGCTCGGGACAGAACCCGCAACAGTCCCCAATTACATCGATTGCGTTGCCAAAGAAGGAAGGGTGTCGATGTAGTGTGGTCTGTCGATCCTTAGGTCGATTCCATTCGGCGTTGAGTAGCAAGTCCTTCGCAAAGAGCAACCTCTCAATCTTCCGAGCATGGAACTTCGGCCCGTATGGGATGGTGAAGGTATGGTAATCGCTGACCTCATCAGTCTCTACCCACTCGGCAACATCTTCGTCATGCTGTTGCTTGATGTCGCCTTTGAGCTTCTGCGTGGCCCAACGATTGATGGCTGGTCTGCCACGTTCAGCACGACGCTGATCAACGTAAGCGTCACGGTCAGTGCTTTTCGGCAATTTCTCAAGTACTAGCAACCTGGCCAGTCCGAGAGTGCGACCGAAGGAGCGTTCGAACAGCGTGGGATCAATACGCGACCGATCAAGGAGCGGCCAGTAGACTTCGAAGCCGCGGCGTGCATACTTGGACAATCGGTTTTCGTATGACGGGGAGCGACGTGTCAGGTCGATGGTGTTGATCTGCGTCATGTATGCAGCGATCGCACGAGGACTGGCGTAGACTTGCTTGCCATCGTATGCCGCACAGGAACAATCAACATCGAAGCCTGTGAGAATCTCGGAAATAGATCTGTAAATTCGCAGGACAATCTGAACGTGACGAGTGGGATACTGGGAAGCGATGGTAATGGCGTTCTTGGTACGGACGGTGGTTGTCTCTGTCAAGATGGAGTCTCTGATGCGTTGTTCAATCTGCTTGATCTTCTCAATGGCTTGCTCTTCGGTAAGGTCGTAGAGGAAAAGATCGACATCCGAAGCCGGGGCCAGTTTCTGATGATAGTATTCGCGTAGGGCGCGCTTGGAGCCACTATGTTCCTCTGGAACCGGCAGCAACGAAGTTACAACAGCGCTACCTGCGACCACCACATTGGACCAGTCCATGTCAACAAGCGATGACTCGGAAAAGAGCTGGAAGTTGGTCTGGAACTCATTGAGTGATTGCACAACCGCCGGAGAGCCAGTCGGCTTGCGGTCCTCCTCGTCGAGAGGCATGAGATAGCGCTCACGCTCAGCCTCGGATTCATCCTCGGGGTTGCGAGCGCGGATCTTGAGTTCACTTTCGCGGCCTGCGAATATGGGAAGGATGTTGGGCTCGGCAATAGCGGGGTGTTCTGGTTGCTGAGCGAACACCTCGCGCAGCTTGGAGTCATATTCCTTGTAGGGTTCGAGCAAGGTGTGCAGTGATGTCTCTGGATGGGCTGCGACATGAGTAATCCAGTCGGTATGACGAACTGGGACTTGAGGAAGGTCAATCATTGTCGATACCTGCTTTTGGGTTGTGGTTGAAATGGCGTTGTGAGAAGTGGTAGAAAGCGCGTGTGTTGGAATAGAATTGAGATGGTTGAACAAAATGACTGCTGAAGACGGAAAAACGACGGATTATATATCTCCTTCAGCATTGGGATCTCGTTCGTGCTTGATGATGGCAGCCTGTATCATGATGGAGTTGGATGCTGCAGCGGTGTGGCGTGTTGAGGCAAAAGAGGGTCGAGCTAGGCAACGACGCGCCGTGGCCCATTTTAGCGACGGGAAGACGTGTTTGGGGACCACAGCAGCCTGACGAGACAGGCAGCAGCGAATCATGGTTAGCAGCGTGTATTGAGTCCAACGCGAGCTGCACACGAGTTCATGTGATGCATGACGCGACGGAAGTGGCAAGTGAGGGTAGATCTCAATGAGGTGCTCGAGGTTTGCCACGAACACGCTTGTGCAAAAGAAGGATAGCGCAGCCAGCGGCTTGGCACCTCCCGCTGGCAGCAGCTTCGAGCTCGCCATCTTCGGCATTAGCATCTTCCACACGTTCTCGATACCAGCACCGCTCCTACGTTCAATCGTACATGGCTCTGTCACGCCTTCGAACGAATCACACAGCTTCTACTCCCTGATCGGCGAGTAGAGCGAAATCTGCCCAACGAAGAACATGATAATCGTTAGAGCCGCAACAGCCGTGAAAACAATGGCGACCTATCATCAAATCAGCGTTGAAACCTCCCAGAATCGACTTGCCTGAGATCATACCTTGTCCCCATCGTCTAATCCCCCAGAATTACCCAAATTCGACGTTGCACTCCACACGAGCAGAAACATACCCACAACCATGCAGATAGTCGCGGATATGAGAAACATGACTGGCATCTGCCAAGTCAAGACCTGGACAAGGTTTGGCGCACGACGACCCGTTCGTTTCCAGCGACTTCCCTTACCAAGTAGCTTGTGAAGATTGGCGAGGCCATCGCGGTGCGACGAAAGCCGGTGTAAACGCACGGTCTGGTCGGCTGCGCTGATGATGGAAAGCATTGTGATGATGATGCCACAGTACCACGATGTCCGGACATACCACGGAGTGGGCCTGCCAGTGGTGAGGATATTCGGCCAGCTGCCTGTCGAGGTAAGGACACCCGCAAGCAGGGCGGACTTGACCATCGTCAGCGGTGCGGCATCATCAATGGATACAGTACTTACTACGACACCAACAAAGTTCAGCTCGCTTAGCTTGTTGTCTCTCCATTTTTCGACAAGCTCATCTCTCTCGCTTTGGTCATGCGTGTTGAGCAGGATTTCTAAAGGGTCATACGTTGAGGGGTCCGGTAAGAAGATGCCACCACCAAACATTTGCGGTGCGCAAAAACAACTGCTTTGCCGCTTGCGTTTGTTGTTCGACGTCTCTGGATGTAGGGGTGGCTGGGTAACACCATTCGATCCTCGGTCTGCTGCTCTCCATTCGACATCGTCCGGCTCCCGGGAAGAAGAGGTACGGAACATGGTTTACTCGGTATCTGGAGGATCGAAGAGGTTGTGGATATGGGCAACAGTGGCCTCCATTGACTTTATCAAAGGTTTGCCAGAAGCAAACAATGCTGCGGTGTTCGAGAGGTGTTCGCCGATTATGACGCACATCGCGCCGCTAGCTGTAGCGCAAGTCTTCAAAGCTCAGTCAATCACAGCCTCTGCATCGTTCAGTCGCAATGCAGCCAAGTCTACCTACGCTGCGAACATCAACAGCCATGCAGGACGCTTAATCTCATCAACGCAAGCGTTCAAATAAAGTCTCGATTGTAATTACAGACCTCGGCTACACATCCACTGCGTTCCAGCACCCTGCAACCAGCTCAATGCATGACCACAGCGACATGGTCGTCCATGTACTTGGAAATATCGCCCAAGAAGCATGCCGCGATGATGCTGACTCCGCCAAACGCTATGCTCACGTAGTACACGTACTTGTACGCCTCGGCGTACGCGAGCTGACCAGCGTACACAACCAACTCATACGCACCCGGCACGTCCTTGATACCCGGAAGCTCATGGAGAAGCGGGAGAAGCGATCCGCCGGTGATGGCGATTGCCTCTCCGATGATCTCTGGGGACGTGATGTTGAGCTTGGTCACCATTGCGCCGCCGATGTAGTGGGTCGCGGCGGGAACGAATTTGGAGATGAAGACGTTGTAGTACACGCAGTATCCGATCGAACCACCAATGACGCGGATGGCAAGGGTCAGAGCTGCGATTGTTGCGATGAGGTCGTCTGGGCAGATGATGGTGGCTAATGAGGTCAGTAACGCGTTTGTCGATCAACGCGACGTGAAACTTACAGATGATGGATGCGGGCACAACGATACCACCAATGCCGAGACCAGCGAGAACCAACAATCCCCACAGTTGGTACAAGTTGTCCACACGGCCGATAGAAAGAGCACCGCAGCCTGCCGTCATCATGATCGACGAGACGATCAAAAGCTCCTTGTTGTGACCGCGGAGCAAAGACAGCAACCACAGCACAATACACGCACCAGCCAGAATCGAGAACCCAACAGGAATACCCCGGATACCAACACCAACAGGATCATGACCATAAACGTTGAACGCCTGCGTCGGCCAGAACATAAGGATAGAGAAGAAGTTGGCTCCAGAGATGAACGTAATAACAAGTGTCAGCCCAAGAATCCGGGGCTCCTGGCGAAGTCGTTTGGGGAACATGGGATGTTTAGCTCCGTAAGCTTCCCAGAAGACAAAGGCGACGAGGAAAGCGACACCCAGGATCAAGGGCGCGAGCACGTGCGCGCTGGACCACTTGTACTGGTAGCCACCCCACTGCATACCCATCATGAACAAGATCATACCAGCAACAGACAGAAAACCGCCGATGTAGTCGATCTGCGCGAGAACCTCTCTGCGGCTCATACCCACGCTGTTGACGCGGGGAGGAGGGTGGTAGAACACGAACGTCAAGACGAGACCGATGAAAGCCCAGAGACCTAAGATCGTCAGTTTCCCCTCTCATGCGTTCGTTTAGATAACGGGGGAAAGGTTCTTACCACACCACATCCCAATCCACCTCCACGCCCCCGGACTCTGACTAGCAATAAGCTGCGCCCAAAGCACACTCGGACAAAACGGCAAAATCGTAAAAACCAATATCGCAACATACTTGCCCCTCTGACTCGTCGGCGCAAGCTCGCTCGTCACCGCCAACGCCGTAAGCTCGTTGATGCCCGCGCCCACACCGCTAAACACCATTCCTGCAATGAAGATATTCATCGAATGGGCGGTTGAGCAGATGATCATGCCGAGGATAAGGAAGCACGCGCCGATCATGGCGACCCACCGGCGGCCCACGATGTCGGAGATGGAACCGACGAAGGGGCATACGGCGGCGAGGGAGAGGAGGTTTGCCAGGATAAACCAGATCCAGCGGTCGGTGCCGCCTATGTCGGCGTAGATGTAGGGGGGGACGCCGCCGAAGAGGTAGACGGGGATTTGGCTGCCTGTCCAGACTGTTTTTGAGCGTTAGCGAGAAAACAACGTTGTGTAGCAGTGTTTGTGAAGGGCTCTACGCACGAAAAGCCATAGCGACCAACGCCATAAGTCTTTTAAAGTTCATAGGCTGCTCAGCGTCGTGGTCTTCGCCGTCGCCGGCTGTCCGCAAGCCATCTTTTTCGTAGTAGTTGGTGTGGCCGGGGACTTGCTCGTTGGTGTGGATTTGCTCGATGTGGTTGAACGCTGGTTTGGACGCTGAGGGGGAGTGGTCTGAGACATCTATTGTTAAATTGGCTTAGTAAATGTGTAGGTGAGTGTGGAGTTGGGGTGTAGGATTGCGTACCAGAGCCATCGCTGTGGTCCCGCATCGTGTTTTTCTTCATAGTCTACGTATGGAGACGGCCGTCGTAGACAGGAGTGTAGACTTTGAACAACACAAACGAAAGTGTTCGCAAGACTGACTGACACTTCGTTTGGAGGCTCAGCGGGGCTCTTATGCTATCCATGTACTTGGAACCCACCCTTGCCTTCACCACGCCCCTCTACCAGGGCCCGTCCATCACATTCCCCACCCACGACTCAGTCTGCGGGGTATTTCCCACCTAACATCCAACTAGTCCTCACATCGTCCCTCTTCCTCCATTTCCCTCCATTATCCTCCTTCACACTAGCCCCAAGTCCACGGTCTAGCCCATCCACCCACCGTCCCCATCCGCGCATCTGGATTCGCTTCTCGCACCACGGCCGCGGTAACTTTCCAACACGCCTACCTGACACTTCCGCCACGTTACCAGCTAGCCTATCACTTCCTTCCGTACCATGTCCATGGGACGTCGCGTACTTCGGGGGAAGTTGTGAATGGGGTTAGCGTGGGCTGGTAGTGTGTATGTACCCCGCAATTGCTTGGTCGAGCTTGTCGCAACAAGCAAAGAAGCGGCTGAACAAGCTTTTGGCGAGGTTTGTCGATCTCAGATGGCTTCGTTGGAAAACCTGGGGATGGGGAGAAAGGTGAACGGGGATCGGCGGGGGACGGTGGGTTGGTGTTGGTAACCTTGGAATGGAGAGGTGGTGCGATGCGGCGATTCTGTATGTAAGGAGAGGGCTTCAGCTGGGATGTCACATACGGGTACTTGGGACCACGGCAGTTTCTTCACTCGCTCACTCGCTGTTTCGCTCTTCGCTCCTCGCACAATACACCTCCGCGCGGCTTTCCCCTTCGGTCCTATTCGCGCGGAGAAAAGTCCGCGTTGGATACCTACAGGGAAGCATGCCCAGGTGGGCTTAACCTGCCGTATAGATGCATGGTCTCTAGTCCCGTGAGCTATGCTCGCTCTCGCGTATGTACGATAGCGACACCGGAGTGGATGCTTGATACGCCACAAGTACGGCTGTTCGGCTACGGGGGCCATGCAGACTGTGTTCTTGATTCGAGTTGCCTAGGTAGAATGAGAGGATGGGAGAGCTTGGTGGAAGTTTACCGCTGGGTTTTCACCGTGATGATTGAGGCGCTGATTTGGGAATGGATGTTGATTGCTGGCTCGTTATAGTGCTATCAATGTAGAATTATCGTTGTTGGAGATCATAGTCCTCATCATCTCAGACCATCCATCTCCAAGCTCACATTATCCGCTCTCGAACCATAAACACCCCCATCCAGGATCCACTGCTCATTATCATCGTTATCATCCTGCACGCGACGCCACGTCTGCTTCCTCCCCCCTTCACCCGCATTCTCCTTGCCTTTACTCTCCTGAACCTTGATAGTCGGCCTAAACAGTCCACCCAACAGCGGATTCTTGCTGAACGCCCCGCTCCCACTCGATAGCGTATTCCCATCTCGGGGCCGTTGAGTAGGTTCGGGTGGCTCATCTTCGCTCTCGGGTGTAGCCGGCCTCTCGGTAGCAGCCATGCGCTTGACAAGCTTCTTTCCCGAGAGATCGATGCTGGCGACTACTTTGCGCTTCTCGTATTCTGGGCGCGCATTCCAGTCTTGCTCGCGCAGAGCTTTTTGCTGGCGCTTGAGCTGCATGGCGCGTTCTTGGGGGCTGGCCCACATGCTGAGGCCGGCGGTTGTAGTTTCGAAGTCGGCGGCTTCGTCGTGGACTTGTGTTCGTTTGGCGTTTTGGGCTTGGAAGGCGAGCAGCTTGTCTCTGTGCTGTTTTGCTTTTGCGAGCTTCTCGTTCTCAGACTCGACGTCCGAGGCCGGATTGGAAGATGCGGGTGTTCCTGTGCGGGGTGTTGAGAACGGGCGTGGTGCGAGCGAGACATCGGCACGCTTTTGGCCCGCGTTGTTGGCGGCCATCTTCTCTTTTCCGCGCTCTTCGCGGAGAACGCGCACCATGGATTGGATGTCTTGTGCACTGAATAAAGCTGAGTTGCAGAAAGTGCATGGGCCGATGCCTTCCTTTACGCAAATGATCTTTCCGCAGTTCAAGCAGTTTGGCGCAGCTTCGAGCAAAGGATGCCTGGTAGCCATGCAGTTGCATTTCCGCTTGCTGTTATCTTGTGGGGCAAGAGTAGGGTTCGTCTGAATCTCAAGCGCTCTGATTGCGGACTCCAGATCATTGAGTGCCGTTGAGGCACCATGCATGGGCGTGCCACCAGTAACATTGACCTTTGCCTTGGCCTTAGGTTTCGTATCCGAGATGAGTTGGCCTGGAAGTTTCTTTGCTGGTTGCGGAGCAGGCGAGACACCACGAGATTTGGGGGTTGATGTCCCCGATGACGTAGTGAAGGTTGGTAATTGCAACCCATCATGTTGTTCTTGTAAGCCGAATTTGGCAGCCTTGGGCTTTGAGCTACCCGCCATGTAATCTTGTTCATCCTTTTTGAGATATGCACCAGATACGTTGCCATGGTCCTCAACTTGTCGCGGTGGCGGAAGTTTGTTCAAACCGGGTTTCTTCTTCTTTGGCTTCGCCCGGGGTACTTCTGACATGCCATTTGACGCTTGAGCCTGACCAGGGCTGCTGGAAGGCTTGGGCTTTCTCCGGTTGTTAAATGAAGAGATAAACTCAAGTGCTTGCGGGCTGTCGCCTAAGAAGTTCTGCAGATGGTCCGCTGCTTCTTTGGGCGATAGTGACTCAGTATATGATATCAGTTGCTTCAGTGACTCATCGTCTAGAGGAACAAGCTTCGATAGCTGGGGCAATGCCCAGGTTGAGAGATCCATGTTCTTGTTGATGAGGTTGTGGTCGCCCAATGTCGGAATAGTTCGTTAGCTGTGAATCATCGCTCTGAGCTAGTAGCTGTGGCGCAGGCGCGTGGCTGGTCGGCGGTCCGTGTCCCAAAGTTCACATGGAATTCCAGCTCGTGGGGAAGCTGCCATCACAGTCCTCATACCCTCAACTACACATTCACCATGGCTACCGACATCGCGCTCGACACCACTATTGTAAGTTCGTATTCCTGTACGATCAACACCCTGACCAATTCAACCAGGGCACCATTGTCATCGAACTCTACAACGACCACGCGCCCAAGACATGCAAAAACTTCTCGACGCTCACGCAGCGCAACTACTTCAATGGCCTGATCTTCCACCGCATAATACCAAACTTCATGATCCAAGGCGGCGACCCCACGGGTACTGGAAGAGGAGGTGAGAGCATATATGGAGACAAGTTCGAGGACGAGATCAGCCCCCAGCTCAAGCACACGGGTGCAGGCATCCTCAGCATGGCCAACTCCGGTCCCAACACCAATGGCTCCCAGTTCTTCATCACATTGGCGCCGACTCCGTGGTTGGACGGCAAGCACACCATCTTTGGAAGGGTCAAGAGCGGGATGCAGATCGTGAAGAAGCTGGGCTTGGTCAAGACAGACAAGGAAGACCGCCCTGTGGAGGAAGTCAAGATTGTCAAGGCATACCTCGTCGACGACGGCGCGATGGCGATGCAGCGATACTAGCGCGGGGGAACGGGATCAGCCAGGCGTCGACGCGATCGCATGACAGAGCGCATCAACGCGACACTCAATGCTTGAACGTGAGTTACTCGAAAATGGAATGTAGATTAATTACTCATACGTCCAACTAGTTCAGAGCTCCATTCGGATGGATCAACACCTTCGTATACCCCTCGATCCTCTTGTCAAACTTCTCGTATGCCGTCGGCGCGTCGTCGATATTAATCTCGTGCGACACAACGAAGCTCGGTTTAGCCTTGCCCGATACAATCATGTCGCGAAGATACCTGTTGTAGGCCTTCACATTACACTGCCCGGTGCCAAGATGCAAACCCTACGGTCGTCAGTGGTGGGTACACAACTTCGAACCACGAACATACCTTTTCGAATAGCTTGCCGAACGAGATCAGAATTTGGCCCTTCTTGCTCTGCTCATCGGGCGCTCCTGGATCGGCCGGCACATACAAACCTGGAATACCCAAGCCTCCCGTTGGCCGGGTCACCATGATCAACTGGTCCAAGACAACGTTTGGCTTCTCCTTGCTACCAGACGCGTCCACGGCTTGATACCCGACCGCGTCGACAGCGCGATCCACCATACCGTCATTGAGCTTGATGATCTGCTCAACCGGGTCGCTCTTCCTGAAATCAATAGGAATGCATCCGATCTTCTCCGCAGCTTGCAGTCGCTCAGGCACTGTGTCGACTACGAAGACCTTGCTTGCACCTCGTAGGATACCGCTATACGCTGCCATGAGACCAACAGGACCTGCACCGAACACCGCGACGCTTTCGCCGGACTGGAAACCAGCGAGGACCAGCCCATGCCAGCCCGTTGGGAATATATCTGCTAGTAGTATGAAGTCGGCTTCGTGCTCGGTTCCTTTTGGCAGCTTCAGGGCGTTGAAGTCGGCGAAGGGGACTCGGAGGTATTGCGCTTGGCCGCCCTGGTAGGGGCCCATGGCTACGTAGCCGTAAGCGCCGCCGGCGAAGCCTGGGTTTACTCTGTTCTATTGTTAGGACAGGTGCATGACGGCCTTATTGGAGTCCGACTTACCCAGTGCAGAACGCTGTCTTGCCCTCCTCGCAATTGCGACACCTGCCGTCGGCAACATTCTACGATCCATCGCGTTAGCTCTCCACCATCCGCACTCCATCTCCACGAAATACTCACAAACGGCAACACAATCCTATCCCCCTTCTCCAAAAGCGTCACGCCGGCACCAACCTCGATAATAGTCCCCATGTTCTCATGACCAAACACCAGGCCCGCCTCCGCAGCCGTCCGTCCCTGATACATATGCAAGTCCGACCCGCAAATCGCCGCCGTCGTAACCTTGACTATCACATCATCTGGATGCTGTATCTTGGGCAGTTCGACGTCCTTGACCGAGACTTTGAATGGGCCCTCGTAGTGCACCGCTTTCATCTTGTCGGGGGACATTTTGGGGAGTTGTTGTGCGCCTGTCGCGTACAAGCAGTTTCAAAGGTTTAAAGATACAAGATACAAGATATGAGATACAAGATACAAAGAGTTCGTCGCGACGATAGAACGAGATGCGCGTATATTATCGTGAAGTGGGAAATGGTTGCAAAGGACGAAAGGCGCGTTGATCCCACAACGGAGCCAGACCCAGTCTATGACATATGACGACCCCTCATCTTCGGTCCTTGCAAGCTTGCATGGCTTGCAGGAGTTGGGACCAGAGCGTCTGGCTGGCGTCATTATTGAGGGGCTGACAGCGGAGGAAGGGTCGATCAAGTGTGGGGTATGGGTTCCGAGTCGGAACGGACGCTTCGGAAACTAGCGCGTTGTGTTGATTGCGCTTCAACATTTGAAGTCACTTGTATCCGCGTGGACACATTTTCTGCATGGTAGGGAAGCTTGGAGGATCGGCCACACCGATGTTGAGGCCCTGTTTTGGTTTTGGAATTTAAGCTCTAGAGCGGAAGAGGCCTCAACATCGGCGTGGGAGGTCTTGCTTGGTTCTGTATTGTGCGGAAAACGTGGAATTCTTATCGACGTCTCAGGTCTTCTTTGATAGCGTTTCCAAGGGACGGGGATCATAAGCAAGAGATGAGGAGCATATCGCTCCAGGATTTGTGCTTGGATATTCGGTAACGGTGGTTTGCCAGGTTCGTCTGGAGTCGTCGTCTCCATACACACTCATGCTATTATCTCATAACTGACCGGTCCCTGGGCTTCGTCCTTGAGCCTGAAGTCTTTTCGCGAGTAGATTTGACTGCTATCCATTCCTGATGGATGTAAGGTGTCGATGCCGGAGCAGATCCCACAACGCATTCCGAAACTCATATGTGCCCATCCCAGCAGGTCCTCTCGGAAAAGATAATTATCGTCAACACAAGCGTTTGTGATAAGAAAAGGACGTTTATAGATGTTTGTGCTGTTGGATTCGTGGTGCTTGCTCGTCCAAAACGATACACCACGAAACAACATTCCGGGGGACTTCTGACCTTGCCTCTGACGATTCGCGCGGAGAAATATACTGCAAAGATAATTCCCACGTGCAAAGCAAATCGTGGCGCTGTAAGCGATAGGCGACAACGGCAACCATTCGCCTGTTTACGCGCTTCGACCCCGCATCCTGCCTTGTCTCAGCCTTCCTCTTTCCTTCCTCACGATGTTACCATCCTTTCGCGCAGAAGGAAACGAAATTATCGAGGACACTATGGAACCGAACACAGCGTCGATGGGAAGACCTCGGTATGGAAAAGGACTTGCGCTACTTTCTCTGGACGGCGGAGGCATCCGTGGTCTGTCGTCGCTGTACATTTTACAACGCCTTATGGAGCAGCTGGATCCCGAGAACCCACCAAGGCCTTGCGACTGTTTCGACCTTATCGGTGGCACGTCTACGGGCGGACTCATTGCACTCATGCTAGGGCGCCTGCGTATGACGGTCGCGGAATGCATCGATGCATACCATGAGCTTATGCCGGCTATCTTTGAGAAGGCCAAACATCGCTACTCTATCAGCAAGGGTAAACTCCAAGGGAGATACGATGGTAAAGCTATAGAGGAGGGGGTTAAGCGCATACTCGAGGAACGTAACATTAGACCAGACGAGCTTCTCAAAGACCCCGGCTCCACATGCAAAACGTAAGTGGGCCGCAATGTCTACAGTCTTTCTCCGGCTAATAGCTCAGATTTGTCTGTGTAACCAGGAAGACCGGTTCACAGATAACGCTTTTCTCCAATTACCCCATACAACGCCGATCGCGAGACCTGTACAACGCGGTGAAGATATGGGAGGCAGCTCGTGCCACTTCAGCCGCGACAACCTTCTTCGAACCTATCAAGATCCTCCATGAAGAGTTTGTGGACGGTGCCTTTGGTGCAAACAACCCGATCGACGAAGTCTGGACAGAAGCTGGTGACATATGGACACGCAATACTGGAGAAACACTAGAAGACAACATAAGTTGTTTCGTCTCCATTGGAACTGGTATACCGGCTTTTGGAAAAGTTGACGAGTCACTCGTTGGTATGGTGCAGACGCTGAAAGCGATAGCTACCAACTGTGAGAGCGCCGCTGAGAGATTTCAACGACACCATCCTGCGCTCGACGGGCGTTTCTTCCGTTTCAACGTGCCAAGAGGTCTGGAGAATATAGGGCTGGAAGAGATCAACAAGGCAGGCGACCTCATCGCTGCTACCAGACAGTATCTAGAGTCACAATCGGCTTTCCTCGATATCGAAAAGTTCCAGTCGGCCTTTCAGCAGCGACAGCGTACGTACCCTACGGAGCAGAGGGAAAGCGGACTGTCCAGCTGAACGACTAGCAGGGATTCAACGAATTTGCGACTATGTTACTAGTGTAGCTGAACGCGTATCATACAGTGTTCGTTACCAGTCAGAACGCGTGAGCCAAACCACTGCATCAAGTACTCATTGGATCACAAACACAAGCATTTGTGATTCGTGGCTGCGACATGGCTATGAGCTATTACACATTGACTGGAAGGGTACAGGACCTGAGCGAGATATAAAAGAGAATGACATCGTCGCAATCGCGGATACACTCTTACAGATGTCGCCTCAATTCATCAACCTCAATCTTACGAACATTGTCCTGCGGAGTTACAACAAACCTCTCGTGGATGTTGATCAATCCCAACACAATTCATGCGAGCATTGTAAACAAGACGAGGGTGTACCTCACCATGTTTGTATTGATGTGCAGCGACCTATTACTCCCAAAGAGCTCATGGTGGCTTTCGCATGTGTCCAGTTAGCTCGCAACACGAGCGAAACAGAACTTGCTACACGCATATCAGAAATGGATAGCTCCAATTTTGGCCTTCTCGAAAGATTGTCGACCGAAAAAGGCGTTGAAGAAGGCTCCCGAGTCGACTATGAAACGTTGTTAGGGGGTTATAGCATCGGGAACATCAATCATTTGGTTGGCTATTCGTTGCAAAGACTGCCAACTAATTGCTTTCTTCTCTTCTCAATATGTCATCTCACAAACTCTACTATTCGCAGCAATGAATTGGAAATGGTGGTGAGAGGGTTCCGTGCTCTTCTTCCAGAGACGTCGAGGCTGCAGGCGGTGATGCACAACTGGGGGAATCAATCTCCAGATATTCAACAACCATTTTCATTGACGATCAGTCGCAGAACCGAATACCTGGGTAAGGTTTCCCTGTTAGTGATCCCCCATTACTCGAAGTATGAATCTGACGTGCTTTATAGAGTGTCTCGCATCTCTAAAATCCCAGGAGGTTCTCGCTCGATTAAATCAAATCCTTCCACCTGCTTCAGGGACTTTCAGTTGGTTGGATACCCATCCGTCATTCCACAGGTGGCAGGATAATGGAGGTACTTTGTGGATCCGTGGTAAGCCGGGGAGTGGTAAATCAACTTTGGCGAAAGACGTCCTCATGAGACTCCGGTCTAAAGAAATACCTCCGGTGATCGGAGCCTGGTTCTACAGCGTCAAGCTTACTTTGGCGCAGCGGTCACACCAATCTCTCTTACAGGCATTACTTGGCAACTTCCTCGAACAGGACGAGAAACTGTTCCGAGAGCATGTCAACATCTATCGGAAAGCGAGACTACCGCCATGTGATTCGTGGAAATGGTCAAGAGATCTTTTGGAAGAGTTCTTATGGGCCATATCACGAACACCGCAAGACTCTACTATCATGGCCGTTATTGACGCATTGGACGAGTCCGAAAACGACGATCAGATTGATAAGTCACGGCAACATCTAGCGACGTTCCTTTTGGACCTTGCGGAGCACCCAGAATCATGTATGCGGTTCATCATCCTCAGTCGGCCGTATGAATCCTTACAAATTATCTTTCGCGACTGTGAGCAGATTGTATTGGAGCAAGAGAACGAGCAGGACTTGAAGGAGGTCATCGACAGAAATTTGGGCTGGCTACGGCATGCAATCGATCAAAGTCATGACTTTGAAGCACAGAGTATCGAGGCTTCGAAGCCAGACAGCCGCAGAAGGCGCAAACGACCACGAGATGCTGTGTCCGCTACCACAACGATACAGCCTGATCCCGCTCTCGCTGCATTGGTCGACGACCAGTTTCTAGCTATGAGAGATTATCTGATACAGAACGCGAACGGTGTCTTCTTGTGGGTGACCTTAGTACTCAAGGAGCTGCATCAGATCTCCAAAGATGCATTTTCGGGGATCACGGACCTGAACCAAGCACTTCATTCGCTGCCATCCGAACTCGAAGATCTTTACGCTGCCATAGCTCGCCGTTTGCAGAACCGTGACTTCAAGAAGACTAGGCGGATACTTGATTGGATCATTGGTACTAGCCAATCACGGGCGCTGACGCTGTCGATGTTATCTGAAGCCATGAGCATCGACGAGGAGATCAACGTGGAAGCTTCCATGACACCTACGACAGATCCCTTCTTGGTTCACAAGCCTATAACAAGACAGCAAAGCTGGGGAGTATTCGCATTTGACGTCTACGATCAATGCGGAGGGCTTGTCGATGTTGTACCTCCTGACGAGGCTCGAAAACAATTCCAAGAATATCATGAAGAAGAGATCAATGATCAATGGGTCGCAATCCTGGTACATCGTACTTCTCTCGACTTCATTGCTTCAACCAGATGCCCCGAGGTCATTAGGACGAATGCGGCACGCGCTAGATCGGTGGTAGAGGATGGGCTGGTTACATACCTGCAGGTTTATCTGCCAATGAGCGCTGGTCAAGAGCCTTCATTCCATCCCCGATTGGCCATACAAGGAGAATTCGGAACCAGTGTTCTGTCATTTTCTTCCCCCTGCGAACCGCTGCAGTCGGGGTTCGACAGAAGTGCCCCGGCACGGTACCACCCAAGCGACCCGATACCTTCTTACTCAGTACAGCCGCAATATCATCCAGTGCAAAACATTTTGGGAGACGCCACGCCAACGGACTTATCAACGAGAGCGATGCAAGCATGGGATGCCAGATGTCGCGGTTGCTATTTGGAAGATTCTGAGCGACCATCGGGCACCTTCAACAATGTTCATGATGAGCACCTTTATCAGGGAATTGGCGCTCATCTTGCGGAAGAAGCTAACGAAGACCTCAATCTCGAGCTTCGTGGCGTTACCCCCGAGACTAGGAGAGCCTTTTCCCAGGCGACGACCAGATGCATACATCAGCTACTCACGGCATCAGACAAGCCACTATTGCAGTACCTCGAGAATCGGCGACTCCTCGAATTCAGTGTGCAGATGTTACATCAGCTTTGGGACATGGTTCAATACAGGGACAAGCTCAACTCATACAAAACAATATTTCAGGATTGGAGAACCAGGAAGACATTCGATATTTTGGATAATGACCTTTTTCAGCCACACCCATGGGAAACAGTGCCTGTAAGTCCCTTGGCATTCACCGTGCCCGCATGGTTTTGTTGGTTACAAGACATTCCTGGTAATATCCTTGTAGCTGCCTGTGCGCAGAATCAAGAGAATGCGTTGCGTAATATAGTGGCTTTACTCCATCTGAGCCCTCACCTTTGGAGGAATGTTCCCATCGCGAGGGATGGCGCTCTCATGATACTCAACACCACTACCGCGTCGATGGGAGGACTGGAAGAGAACCCGGGATGTATGAAAATTCTCCGTGCACTTCCCACTATCACAACTACATGGAGACCTGGTAACGAAGCTTTCCAGCGAAATCCATCGGAAGTTTCCTCGGCAGAAGCAACATACTACAGGCCCTCTAGTTCTGTACTCTCCAGTAATGCGAGCCTGTCTGAATTTTATGAACGAAACGAATATCTCAGCTTTTACGAGTTGGATTCACGATAAAACAGGCCCTCCGCCTACCTGCGGGTCACGAGGGGCTTAACTGATGGTCTCGGGCCTATGCGAGCCTGTATAGTCCGTATTCCTAAGGCAATGCAGCCACAATCTCGTTACGTAGCTCTGTGCAGTCACCATCACAAGGTAAACGAAGCAAACTTAGTGGGATATTGCAAAAGCTATGAAATTCTATTCTTGTCGCAAAGCTCATAGCCATCGCCCAGCTCCGTACATGCATCACTAGCCATCAATCCCAATCAAATCACCTACTTCAAAGCCGCCAACCCCTCATTCAACCTTCCCAGCCTCCCCTTAACCTTCTCAACCCTCTCTCCCACCACACTCGCCCCTCCCTTCTTCTCCTTCCCTTCCACCCCTCCCTTCTCCCCTTCCACCCCAGCCTTCCCCCCCTCCCCACCCC